GTGTGGGATTACAGGTGTGTAATCCCACTCAGCTACTCAGGAGGCTGAGGTAGGAGAATCACTTGAACCCAGGAGGCAGAGGTTGCAGTGAGCTGAGATGGTGCCACTGTACTCCAGCCTGGGTGACAGAGTGAGACTCCATCTCAAAAACAAAACAAACAAAAACAACCACAAAAAAAAATGTAAAGAGAAATGTTTCTGTAAATTTGACCCCTTGGTCCAATCTGCTCTCATCAGAGCTGAAGTCGGATGGGGTGGGCCTGGAAAGGGTCCCACTTCATCATCAGGGTCACCTCCCTGAGGACTGACCCCTGGGATCTGGCACCAGCTGCCCTTTTCAGGGGTTGGAGCTGGAATCTCAGATGTCCTGGCGACGGCTGGGGCAAGGCTAGCACCCCTGGACAGGTGGCACCCTGAGGCTCCCCTCACCCCCATTCAGCGGTTTTCCCCTGAATAGGATGCCCTAGGTGGGAACAGCCGCACCGTGATGATCACCCACATCAGCCCAGCCAGCACCTGCTTTGAGGAGTCTCGGATCACGCTGCCGTACGCTTACAGGGCCAAGAATATCAAGACCAGGGTGAGGACTTCAGGCGCTTGGAGTTCAGATTTTTAAGTGTGCAGTCAGTGGCATTAAGTACGTTCATGTTGAGCTCAGTGCAGAGGCTCACGCCTGTAACCCCAACACTTTGGGACACGTAGGCAGGTGGATCGTGAGGTCAGGAGTTCGAGACCAGCCTGGCCAACATGGTGAAAACCTGTCTCTACTAAAAATACAAAAATATTAGCTGGGCATGGTGTCACATGCCTGAAATCCTAGCTACTCGGGAGGCTGAGGCAGGCGAATCACTTGAACCTGTGAGTCGAAGGTTGCAGTGAGCCCGGATTGTGCCATTGCACTCCAGCCTGGGTGACAGAGCAAGAAACTGTCTTGGGAAAAACAAAAGTCTTTGTGCAACCATCACCACCATCTATCTCCACAACTTGCTCATCTTCCCAAACCGAAGCTCTGCACTGCAGCCTTGACCTTCTAGGCTCAAGCCATCCTCCCGCTTCAGTCCCCCAAGCAGCTGGGACTACAGGTGCACACCACCATGCCCAGCTAATTTTTCAGTATTTTTGTAAAGACACGATCTCCCTGTGTTGCTCAGGCTGGTATTGGACTGCTGGGCTCAAGTGATCATCCTGTCTCAGCCTCCCAAAATGCTGGGGTTACAGATATGAGCCACTGTGCCCGGTCTCTGCACCCATTAAACAGTAACTGCTCACCCCCTTCCCTAGCCACTGGCACCTTGCATTCTATCTTCTGTCTCTATGAATTTGAGGACTTGAGGGATTTCATGTAGGTGGGGTTTTTGGTTTTTGTTGAGATGGAATCTCACTGTGTCACCCAGGCTGTAGTGCAGTGGCATGATCTTGGCTCACTGTAACTGCTGCCTCCTGGGTTCAAGTGATTCTCCTGCCTCAGGCTCGTGAGTAGCTGGGACTACAGGCTCTTGCCACCATACCCAGCTAATTTTTGTATTTTTTTGATGGAGTCAAGGTTTCACTATGTTGGCCAGGCTGGTCTCAAACTCCTGACCTCAAGTGGTCTGCCCTCCTCGGCCTCCCAAAGTGCTGGGATTACAGGTATGAGCCACCACACCTGGCCAACGGCCTCATGTAGATGGAATACACGGTATCTGTCCTGCTGGGACCAGCTTATTTAACCCAGCAGCATGTCCTCGAGGTCCATCCATTTTACAGCAACTCTCAGAATTCCCTTCCTTTTTTTGTCTTTTTGAGACAGGGTCTTGCTCTATTGCTCTGGCTGGAAGTGCAGTGGTACAATCATAGCTCACTGCAGCTTCGATCTCCTAGCCTCAAGTGATCCTCCTACCTCAGCCTCCCAAGTAGCTGGGACCAAAGGTATGAGCCACCACACCTGGCTAAGTTTTGAATTTTTGGTAGTGATGGGGTCTTGCTATGTTGCCCAGGGTGGTCACAAACTCCTGAGCTCAAGTGATCCTCCTGCCTCGGCCTCCCAAAGTGCTGGGATTACATGTGTGAGCCACCATGTCTAGCCAGTTCCCTTCCTTTTTCAGGCTGAATAGCATCGACTTGAATTTTATAACAAATGCCATGTTTGCATTCTTACATTTTGTGTGTGTGTGTTTTCTGAGATGGTGTCTCACATCCTCACCCAGGCTGGAGTGCCATGGTGCGATCTCGGCTCACTGAAACCTCTGCCTCCTGGATTCAAGCAATTCTTCTGTCTCAGCCTCCCAAGTAGCTGGGATTACAGGCGGGCACCACCACATCTGGCTAACTTTTTGTATCTTTTTGTATCTTTCTGTAGCGGAGATGGGGTTTCACTGTGCTGGCCAGGCTGGTCTTGAACTCCTGACTTGGTATCTGTCCGCCTCGGCCTCCCAAAGTGCTGGGATTACAGGTGTGAGCCACCATGACTGGCCCATGTTTCATTCTTTCAAACACATCCTTTGTGGGGCATTTCCTGCCTGGTCAGACTCTGGCTGCGTGTCCTGCCTGCTAGGTCAAGCGCAACCCGCTGAAGGTCTCCTATCGCATCGCGCAGTACACGGAGGTCATCTCCGACCTGCGCAGGGAGATCCAGAACCTCCAATCAAAAATTGAGAAGCAAGAAAAGAAGAAAAGTGAAGCCGGCATCCAGGATGCCCGAGGTAGGCAGGCCGAGTGGGGGCTGGTGCCTCCTGCAGGTACAGCGCAGAACCTATAGCTTGCAGTGAATGCCAAGAATGAAGCACTCAGACAGTTCCAGTTGAGCGGGGCTAGGGAGTATCTCTTCTGAGAGAGTCCGCCCCAGCATCCATCCATCCATCCATCCACCAAGTATTTATTGAAGGGCTTGTATTAACTACAGACATCCACTAGATGGTTACTTGAGGTGGGATACTGAGGCACCTGTGACCTTGTATGCACTCAAACTGCATTCTCAGGAAGCTGTTTTCATCGTTCCTTATCACACCACACACTCCACTTCCCGACCTGTTTTCAGGGTCTACGAGTTTCATTCCCATGCACAAATAACATACACACAGCACTTCAGTATGTTTCCACTCCTGACCTCAAATGCCATGTACATAAGCTTTAATATGTTGCCGTGTGCCCCCTACAGCGCAGAAGCACTGTCAGCCTCCCAGGGCCTGCAGGACACGTCCCTGTCCTGGTTACCCCTCCCTGTCTGGGGCTGCGTGCTTGGGCCACTCTGAGCACCTGCACCCAGAGAGCACTTTGGTGGCCCTGTCTGGACGTTAGTTTCAACCTGGCTACCACCTCACTGTGTCCCGACCCAGAGCTCTAATTCTTCCCTTGTAAATGGGGGTTGGATTCTTTCCTTTTTCTTTAGAGACAGGGTCTTGCTCTGTGGTCCAGGCTGCAGTGCAGTGGTGCAATCATAGCTCACTGTAGCCTCAACCTTGGGTTTAAGTGACCCCCCTGCTTCAGCCTCCTGAGTAGCTAGGACTACAGACATGCCACCACACCTGGCTAACATTTTTTTTTTTTTTTTTTTGAGACAGAGTCTTGCTCTGTTGCCTAGGCTCGAGTGTAGTGGCATGATTTGGGCTCACTACAAACCTCTGCCTCCCAGGTTCAAGTGATTCTCCTGCCTCAGCCTCCCATTTAGCTGGGATTACAGGCACCTGCCAGCACACCTGGCCAATTTTTGTATTTTTAGTAGAGATAGCCAGACTGGTCTCAAACTCTTGACCTCAAGTGATCCACCCGCCTCAGCCTCCCAACGTGCTGGTATTATAGGCATCAGCCACTGCACCCAGCCCGAAAACTTTGCTTTAATGACTGCAGTAATTCCATCATCTAGATGCACCATGATTTATTTTGTCAACCCCAGTTTACTTGACATTTAAGGAAAAGGCAGCTCTTGACCACTGCCCTCAAGGTCATGGGAACAGATTGGACAAACCATGCATGTCCAGGGTGGAGCCATCCATTGGGGCAGACAGGGGAAAACATTGATTACCTGCTGGGCAACTATTAGGTAGGAACTCACTGTGGGAAACAGGAAGACAGGAATGATTTTGCCCATGGAGCTTACATTTTAGCGGGAAAGACAGGTATAAAACATTTATCACAAAATGTTACCTAATCATAGATGTGTAGAACACTGTGAAAGAGGAGGCAGGGTGTCATCAGAGCAGGTGGCAGGTAGCCGAGTGAGAGTCTGGGAATGTTTCACTGGGAAATTGAGGTCTGAGCTGAGATGGTTGGCCAAGACTCAACACTATTTGGGTTCCTGAGACTCAAATCCAGGTAGCCTGACCCCAAGCCAGGGAAAGAGGGGGTTTAAATTTCTCTAAACCATCTAACCATTTATCCATAAGTCCAACCATCCATCTACCCATCCACCCATTTACACATCTACCCACTCACCCATCCATCCATTTACCCTCTGTTCACCCATCTACCCTTCTGTCTATCTACCATCCATCCATTCACCATCCACCCATCCATTCATCCATCCTCATCCATCCACCCATTTATCCATCTTCATCCATCTGTCCATCCATCCATCCATCTCCAACCATTCATCTTCATCCATCCACCCATTCATCTACTCATTCATCCATCCATCCATCTATCCATCCATCTATCCATTATCCATCCATCCATCCACCCTTTATCCATCCTCATCCATCTGTCCATCCATCCATCTCCATTCATCTCCATTCAGCCATTCATCTCCATCCATCCACCCATTCATCTACTTACTCATCCATCCATCCATCCATCTATCCATTATCCATCCATTTATCCATCCTCATCATCCGTCCATCCATCCTTTTATCCATCCACCCATCCCCAACTATTCTCTCCCTCCATCCACCCTTGTGTCCACTCATCCATCCATCCATCCATCATCCACCACCCACCTGTCCATCTCCATTCACTCATCCATGCACGTGTACTGAGCTTATCTGTGGGCCAGACACCATCTTGGTGGGCAGGCACGGAGTTCAAACCTGGCTTAAGTAGCATTGCTCCTGGTGCAGCCAGCTCCCTTCCTGCCCGCAGTCCCGATGCTGTCCCATGACGCAGAGGAGGATAGCCACGTACAGATGAACAAGATCCAGGCACAGCTCATCAGGGCCTTCAAGGAGCAGATGGAGATGCAGCGCAGCCTGGTGGAGCTGGAGAACACCAACATCGAGCTGCACATGGATGTGTCCCGCCACCTGGTGACCGTCACAGAGAGAGTGTACCCGCCGGCTCGGCTCCACCCGGACCCCAGCACTGTCCCTCCTAACAGGGAAGGGCTGGCCTGCCGGAGCAGAGGGGCCACTGCTGGGGGCTCCTTTTGCTGCTGGCCAGCCACCCTCTGCTGCCTGCAAGTTCCTATTCCTCCCTGCTCTCCTGCCCCTGTAGCTACACTGGGCCAGGTAGGAGAAGATTCCAGATTCCTTTGATCTCTCACACAGGCTAGAGTCCAGAGGCATCCTGGTAGGCCAGCCAGGCCCAACCCCACAATAGGAGGGGATACTGAGGCTTAGAGGAGGTATGGGCTTGCCCACGCCTAGGCCAGGGCTTTTCTCTCGTTGCACACTTACTCCCTGCTCAAATGCACTGAGCACAGAGTGGCACGTGCAGAGATACTGGCCATGCGATTAGCATCCACACCAGAGTGTGTCCGGAGGTGAAAAGGGGCCGTTGCCAAATACACTGGCCGGGCGTGGTGGCTCATGCCTGTAATCCCAGCACTTTGGGAGGCCAAGGCGCTGGATCATGAGGTCAGGAGATCCAGACCATCCTGGCCAACACGGTAAAACCTCGTCTCTACTAAAAATACAAAAATTAGCCAGGTGTGGTGGCTCACGCCTGTAATCCCAGCACTTTCAGAGGCCAAGGACAGCAGATCACCTGAGGTCTGCAAGACTCCATCTCAAAAAAAAAAAAAAAATCCTCAAATCCTGGCCACATCTCAAACCAATTAAACAGAACCCCTAGAGACGGGCTTCAGGCAGAGTATATTTTGAATGTGATTAGAAAGTGCAGCCAGGCCAGGTGCAGTGGCTCACCTCTGTAATCTCAGCACTTTGGGAGGCCGAGGTAGGCAGATCACCTGAGGTCAGAGGTTCAAGACCAGCCTGGCCAACTTGATGAAACCCCTTCTCTACTAAAAATACAAAAATTAGCCAGGCATGGTTGAGGGTGCCTGTCATCCCAACTATGTGGGAGGCTGAGGCAGGAGAATCGCTTGAATCCAGGAGGCAGAGGTTACAGTGAGCCGAGATTGGGTCACTGCACTCCAGCATTGGATTATAGGCGTGAGCCACCCACAAGACCCCCATTTCTCTAAAAAGAAAAAAAAAAAAAATTAGTGGGCATGATTGCATGCGCCTGTAGTCCTGGCACTTTGGGAGGCTAAGACGGGAGGATCACTTGAGCCCAGGAGTTTGAGGCTGCAATGAGCCACGGTCCTGTCAAGGCACTCCAGTGTGGGCAACACAGCAAGACCCCGTCCTCTAAAAAACAGAAATAACAGCTACACATCTATAGATCTGGTTCACAGATGAGAAAACAGAGGCCCCGAGAGGCGAAATTACCGGCCCAACACCACACACCTGACGAGCTTGAGAGAAGGTAGGTGGTTGGGAAAGGCGTCCAAGTCCAGGAAAGGTGCCCCCAGGGCCATGGCTCAGCGTGACCGGGCAGGGCACAAGACCAGGGCACCAGGACAGGGGCGAGGAGGAAACTGTCGCCGAGGACGCCTCTGAGAGCCCCAGAAAGGCGCCTCGGAGCGCGGCCAGCTGTAACCTGGACAGGGCTTTCCCGGCGCAGGAGGGCAGGGGACCCCTAGGGACGGAGGCGCGAGAGGCCACAGGGACCCCCCAAGGGACGGGGACGCGGGAGGGCAGGGGGACCCCCGAGGGACGGGGGTGCGAGAGGGCAGGGGTATCCCCAACGGACAAGGGCGCGGAAGAGCAGAGGGACCCCCAAAGAACAGGCGCGCGGGAATGCTGGGGGACCCCCGAGGGACTGAGGCGCGGGGCCGAACGCCGGGCGCGGGGGCAGGAAACGAGTCGGGGACCGCGCACGGCGGCTGAGCCCCTCCCGCCGAGGGTGGTCGGGCCGCGGGACCAGAGCAGGTGAGTGCTGCCGCAGCCCCGCGCCCTACCTGCCGCCTGGGGATCCGCCTCCTTGCCAGCCTCCGCCTCAGCTGCCGCCCAGACTGCTGCGGCCGGAAGCGGATCCATCTCGCGGCCAGTCATGTGAGCCCGCGCGCCCACGTGACTTCCTCCCTCGCCGCCCGGCCGCGCCCCGCCCACACCCGTCCTGGTCTCCCCGCCTTCCCGGCGCGCCACGCCCACAGCCCGCCCCTGCTGGGCCCGCCGCCCGGCCTCGCCCCGCCCACATACCCCTAGTCACGCCCACAGGCCCCTCCCCGTCCACGTGGACACAGAGCCGGCAGGCTACGCTGGTTCCTTCCGCCTCAGGTCAGACCTCTGAGCTTGCCAGTGCACCGCCTCGGGCGCAAACCGGCACCCGCCGCACCCTCGTTTACTCACATCTCCCCTTGCCCAGTCACGCCCTCGTTCCCTCATTCACTGATCACACCGGGTTTCTGTGACACGCGCTTTCTCATTCATCCACCCTCCCACTCATTCGCTTACCCGTGCATTGCATCTTGCATTCATTCATTCACACATCCACTCACCCACTCACTGCATCCTGCATTCCCTCACTCACACAACCACTTACCCACTGCATCCTGCATTCTTCCACCCACCCGCTGGCCCACTCTGGTTTGCTGGTTGCCACCTGAAGGTCAGGAAGCCCTGGCTGAGAATACAAAAATGCTTCCTGTGCATTCCTCGATCTGGAGGAGGCACAGATGGCCAGAGTGGAGTAAGTGTGCTGACTGTTTCCAGACGGAAGCAAGGCTGTGGGTCACACCGTAAAAGAGGGTGAGGGTGAAGGGTGATCTCTTCCCTACATGGGTGAAGGGATCTCTGGATGGATGGTGCCGGAGTTGGGACTGGAGGAATGAGGATTTAAGCAGGAGGAGGGCACGAAGACTCTGAGACATCAGCTGCAGATGCTGTGGTCATTCCAGGCTAAAAGTGTGGGGGGTGGCATGGAGATTGGTAGGCCTACATCAAGAAGGGGCTTGTTTCCTAAGAAAGGATCCTGGACCTTCTTTTTCTTTCTTTCTTTCTTTTTCTTTTTTTTTTTTTTGAGACAGAATCTCACTCTGTCGCCCAGGCTGGAGGGCAGTGGCATGATCTCGGCTCACCTCAACCTTTGCCTCCCAGGTGAAGCAATTTTCTGGTCTCAGCCTCCCGAGTAGCTGGTATTACAGGAGTGTGCCACCATGCTCAGATAATTTGGGGGGAGGGGTTGTCTTTTTTTGTTCCTTTTTGTGGAGAACAGGGTCTTGCTATATTGCCCAGGCAGGTCGCAAGCTCCTAGGCTCTCAAGCTATCCTCCAGCCTCTGCCTCCCTTAAGAGCTAGGATTACAGGTGTGAGCCACTGCGCCCAACAATTTTTGTATTTTTAGTAGAGATGAGGTTTCACCATGTAGGCCAGGCTGGTCTTGAACTCGTGACCTCAAGTGATCCTCTTGCTTTGGCCTCCCAAAGTGCTGGGATTACAGGCGTAAGCCACCATGCCCAGCCATCCTGAACCTTCTAACACTGATGTCACGCAATGTCCCGGGACTTGATTACAGAACCAAGAGCCCAGAACCACGTCAGGTCCTAGGAAGCAACCCCTTCTCACCAGGTAGTTCCTTTGGCTATAGCTGCTGGACCCTCCCTCGGTTACAGATGACTGCACTGAGGACTCCATAAGGTCCCAGCACACCAGGACCTCCATGAGAGCAGGCATACCCACCATAACCTGGGAGGTGGAGGTTGCAGTGAGCCGGGATCGAGATGTTCTTCTGCTGATGGACATGTAACAGCTTTCCCAGGGCACAGTGGGACATGGCAGGTTCCTGTGACCTCCCACCCACATCTGATAGCTGCTTCCTTCCTCCACCTTGCGCTTCCTTTCAGCTGCAGTTGCCATCAAATAATGTACTCAGCACTTTCCCTGATGTCACACACACATACATACTCCATCCACTTCCTGATGATATTTTCATTAGAGACAGGGTCTTGCTGTGTTGCCCAAGCTGGACTGTGGTGGCCCAATCATAGCTCACTGTGGCTAAAACTCCTGGCCTCAAGCAGTCCTTCCACTCCAGACTCCCAAGTAGCTGGGATTAAGGCACAGGCCACCATGCCCAACTGTTAGCTACATATTTTGGGTCTCAAACTAGATTATAAGATATTTACTAAATTTTTAAAAATTCATTGCACTCAGCTGGGCACAGTGGCTGAGGCCTATAATCCCAGCAATTTGGGAAGTCAAGGCAGGAGGATCACTTGAGCCCAAAAATTCAGGACCAGCCTGGGCAACATAGTGAGACCCCATCTCTGCAAAAAATAGGAAAAAAATTAGTCAGGCATAATGGCACACACCTGTAGTCCCAGCTACCCTGGAGGCTAAGGCAAGAGGATTGCTTGAGCCAAGGATGTCAAGACTGCAGTGATCTGTGATCGCATCACCGCACTCCAGCCTGGGTGACAGAGTGAGCCCCTGTGTCTAAAAATAAAAAATAAAATTGGTGCACTAAAAACTAAATTGGCCAGGCACGGTGGCTCCTGCCTGTAACCCCAGCACTTTGGGAGGCCAAGGCCAGCAGATCACCTGAGTTCAGAAGTTCAAGACCAGCCTGGCCAACACAGTGAAACCCCGTCTCTAATGAAAATACAAAAATTAGGCCAGGTATGATGGCTCACGCCTGTAATCCCAGCACTTTCAGAGGCCAAGGACAGCAGATCACCTGAGGTCTGCAAGACTCCATCTCAAAAAAAAAAAAATTCCCAAATGCTGGCCACATTTCAAACCAATTAAACAGAACCCCTAGAGACGGGCTTCAGGCAGAGTATATTTTGAATGTGATTAGAAAATGCAGCCATTCCAGGCGCAGTGGCTCACCTCTGTAATCTCAGCACTTTGGGAGGCCGAGGTAGGCAGATCACCTGAGGTCAGAGGTTCAAGACCAGCCTGGCCAACTTGATGAAACCCCTTCTCTACTAAAAATATAAAAATTAGCCAGCCATGGTTGAGGGTGCCTGTCATCCCAACTATGTGGGAGGCTGAGGGAGGAGAATCGCTTCAATCCAGGAGGCAGAGGTTACAGTGAGCTGAGATTGCGCCACTGCACTTCAGCCTGGCAACAGAGTAAAACTGTCTCAAAATAAATGAGTAAAATAAAAATAAAAAAACAAAATCAGTGGGAGGCAATGCAAGGCCAGCCAGACAAGGCCTCTGTCCTGCAAAGCCTCCTGATGAAAGTGGTTGGAGAAGAACACACACAGAATAAAGCCAGGGCTACAGGTAGAAGCATGAGGGCTGTGTTGGGAAACGGAGGGAGAATAACTGGCTCTAATTCAGAATGCCTGCTGGAGAGGAGATGCGGTCCCAGCAGGTCGTGAGCTCTGTTGCTGGACACCTCTAGTGTTTGCAGAGTTCCTTGGGAATATGACTGACATACTTCTGCCTTCAGGAGATCCTCCCCAAAGAATACTATTCCTGTTTACTCAGGGAACAGTAAAAAGAAAATGGAATTTCTCATTTCTTTTTTGAGAGGAGTCTCGCTCTTATTTCCCAGGCTGGAGTGCAGTGGCGCAATCTCGGCTCACTGCAACCTCCACCTCCCAGGTTCAAGTGATTCTCCTGCCTTAGCCTCCTGAGTGGCTGGGATTACAGACACGCACCACCATTCCCAGCTAATTTTTGTATTTTAGTAGAGGCAGGGTTTCACTATGTTGGGCAGGCTGGTCTTGAACTCTTAACCTCAGGTGATCCACCAGCCTCCGCCTTCCAAAGTGCTGGATCACTCCCCTGCTTGGATCATCACCAAATCATGCCTGGGGTACTGCAACTTTCTAACTGCATTCTCCGCCTTTACCTTTTAGAATTTGTGCAAAAATAATGAATAATGTGGTCTTTGGTGCCAGTTTGCTTGAGATTAAAAGTCTGCTTTGGCACATGGTATTTAACCTCAGGCCGGTTTATCAGATGGGGTGATGATAATTCGGATTCCGTCAGTACCCGGCGTCGGGTCCTCTGCTGTAATACAGACCGAAATCGACCTTGGTGTGGAGAGCCCACGTGGCCGGCCCCTGCCCACCGCCCGTGCAGGCATAGTTCCTGTCTCAGCCCCTCGCTGTCATGTGGGTCTTTGTTCCCCGCAGCCTCTGCCCTGTGCGTTCGGTTACAGCCTCAGATTGGCTCAGCCCTCCGTTATAGCATGGTCCATCGCACTGGGTTCTTTTCCATTTGAGCATTTTTGTTTCGAGTACATACTCAAATCTGTTTGTTTAAAAAGCTGTCTTGTTTGACGTGTCAGGTCTCTGAGAGCAAGGGGCTTAGTATGTCTCTCTCACTTTGGATACAGAAGCAAAAAGTTTGAGACCACTGATTTTTAATTAAAGCAGTAATAATGGAGCAGCAGCTGTGTTCGAAGTGGCTTTGCTTTGTCAGGACGAGTGCTTTAGTCCTGTAGGTAAAAATTCCTAATTATCGTTACAGTAATTGGTTTGTAGGCCCTATTTTAGCAAGTCTGGGAAAGTTTCTAGACTGTACTTCTGATTTCTGAAAACATGACGAACATAACTAAAATAATAAAGAAATATGAGGGAAGAGTGGGGAGTTAGGAAAAATAGGAAATCTTAAGGAAGAAGATTGTGGCAAATTTTAATTTTAACAAACAAATAAAAAGCAAGATAATTTATAAAATCTGTAAAATGGGAATAAGATATCTTAAAGCATTTCATGAGGGTTAAATGAAATAATATTTACAAATTACTTAGCTCAGTGCCTGCAACACAGTGACTCTTTAGTAACTATTACCTATAATTGTTAATTAGATGATGTGTGTAGTCAACTTCTTCCTGGGTTAGTCTTGGGAGGGTGTAAGTGTCCAGGAATTTATCCATTTCTTCTAGATTTACTCATTTATGTGCATAGATGTCTGTAGTAATCTCTGATGGAGTTTGCGTTTTCTGTGGAAACGATGGTGATATCCCCTTTATCATTTTTTATTGCATCTATTTGATTCTTCTCTCTTTTCTTTTTTATTAGTCTGGTTAGCAGTCTATTTTGTTGATCTTCTCAAAAAACCAGCTCCTGGCTTTATTG